TGCTCCACATAATGTCTTCCACCAGTGAGGGTTCACCCTTTCCACTTTTAGGCAGAGAAAGTGAGGGATTTATCAAATGTAATCAGGGATTTCATTTAGCCAGAGCCTAGCTGTAGCTGTGAGTAGGATCCAGCACCCGCTTGGATTATTTATACTCCTATGGATGGAGTGAGGGTAGGGGAGGTGAGAGGATAAGAAGCTGGTTATGTGAGGGTGATGGCAGTCTCAGCTCTTAAACCAAAAAATAAAGAAAGCTGCAAATGAGCACTGGATATTTAGATAGAAGATCATGGGGCCGCTGGAAAAGGAACATTTCAGCATCACTATCCTGAGTCTTAGGAGCAGCACATATGGTTTTGGCCATGTCTGTGCGGGCTTATGTCTGAAGGAAATAGTTGCCAAGATAACTGGACTTTTGCCTTTCACTAACCATTATAGCCTAAGACAAAGATTAAATTGTGTGGCCTTATGAAGTACTTTTAAAAGTTTCTTAAAATTGCTTCATTGAAAAACTTCCACTTATTGCCCAAAATAATATTATAACGTGGAATCCAAAATTTAAATAAAAATTACCCAGAATCCTACTGCCATAATGATTCAACTGCTTTGATTTTCCTTGCTGCCTTCCATTCTTTTGTATATAAACACTCATATATACAGACTCATACAAACACACACACATATACTTTTCACATAATTGTAACCATGGTGTGTATGCGATTTTCCTTCCATTGCCTTTGAAGTTTAAGTTCAGTTTTTGACTCATGTTCATCAGCAAATCAGCAAAGGGATTGAATTCTTTACTTCATTCCTGAATTTTAATGCTTGTTCCATTTTGCCATTTTTTAATTAACTAAGTTACGTTATATTTAGAGTGTGGTCAAGAAAGTACAGCACTATTCAACATACACATATTATTTTTAAGAGAATACATTAGATCTTGCATTGCTAGAGAAAGTATTACAATTTTAAGTTCTTCTACCAGTTGTGAAGATTTAATAATAATTTGCCTGTTTTCTTTATTTAGAAAGATTTATTGAAAGCTGCTATGTGCTAAGTTATTTGTGATGTTGTTTGCGAAACTTGTACTACTCTTTCCACAGCCCTTCCCATTGCTGCCTGCTCATTCTTAGGGCTCGACATGAGTCACCTCCTCATTCCTGCCTTCTCTGGTATCATTACCCTATATTCCCACCTACTGCACCTTGAAATTATTTTCTGCAGTCCATTTGTAATTACACGTTTGTTTAGTTACTTATTGAATGCCTCCTCTAATCTTCTCTAAGCTCTCCTAGAAAAGGAACTGAATCTATTTTGTTAACCAAGATAAAGTCACATAACATTTTTTAAAAAGCTGGTGGATGGGAGCCAAAGTGTGGAGGAGGGTGTTTGTCCTCAGAGAAGAGGATGGTGGCTGGGGACGCCCCCTGAATTCCTCCCATGTCTTATTTACTGCTGTATTCTCAGCACCTAGCACAGCGTACACGCTCACTATATATTTGTTGAATAAATAAGTATTAACATGAATTGACTTTTCATTTCCTGCAAATCTTAAAATCACCCAAGGGAAGAGACAGTAAATGTCTGTCTATGCTGCAGGCATTGGAGGGATTTGGGTGAGCGTGGTGGTTACCCACAAACTTGAGAGGTGTGAGTTGTGTTGGCTCCTGCCTCCCATGCCCGCCTCCCTTCTGACAGTGTGTAGGTTGACAGAAGGAAGCATGGCAGTGGTTTTGACACCCAGGTTGCCATTTGACAGTGTCCACTGGATAGAATTCATAGGACTCATGAAAGAATATATGTTTTATTTGGTTGAGGGCCAGAATTTTCATTTGCTTACATCAATCTGAGTCTGGAAATTCTGAAATTTGCTCACTGGTGATATCTAGATTAAGGATGATGCCCCTATTCATTTTTGCTTGAGAACTCCTTTTTAAGCATAGCGGTGAAGAAATCCGATTTCTGGCATTTCCTTATACATTGAAATTTTATCTGACTTAAGAATCACTATCAAAAGTTCTATATTCGTGCAAGAAACATGCTGACTTAGTATCTAGGCAAACTGGATAAGTGTGACATTGGTATAAAATATTGAAGATGTACATATTATATAAATGTGTAAGTATATAAATAAATGCATTATTAAATACATCAATATATGTTGAAAAGCTATATATTATAAAAAATGCTTCCTCAACCAAATTGGAATTTTTCTTCCATATACTATTTGGTAATGTTCTTTTTCACTTAACATTATATGTTGTTAAGAATTTTCACCCTGGCTTGACTTTAAAGCCAAATATAACAAATTTTGAGTTACTTTTATGTATATTTTATGCTTTTTCCCCTTCTTAGTATGGCTATAGAAGAACATCTATGCAACATTATGACCAAATCTGTTATTCGGCCAAACAACTTTGGAAAAATATCGAATTTGTGACTATTTACATATGTAATATAATGGTGAAATGGCCTACAATTGAGTTCTGTGTTTTTCCTTGTATGTGAAAGTAAAAGCAGTCCAATTATCATCAGTATTTACTTTACCTGAGTCTAGGGCCCACTTACTTGTAGCTTTCTTTTTTTTTTTTTTTTTTTTAATTCTTGAGACAGAGTCTTGCTGTGTTGCCCAAGCTGGAGTGCAGTGGCACGTGATCTTGACTCACTGTAACCTCTGCCTCCCGGATTCAAGCGATTCTCCTGCCTTAGCCTCCTGAGTTGCTGAGATTACAGGCATGCGCCACCACGCCCGGCTAATTTTTTTGTATTTTTACTAGAGATGGGGTTTCACCATGTTGGCCAGGCTAGTCTCGAACTCCTGACCCATGATCCATCCGCCTCAGCCTCCCAAAGTGCTGGGATTACAGGCATGAGCCACCACGCCTGGCCACTTGTAGCTTTTCATCAGAGATGCCAGAATTGATATCTTTCAGTCTCCAGCTTGAGATGGGGTATTAACTCCCAGGACTCATAGTAATAAGTAGGTGTCATTTAAATAAAAGAATCATTTATGCATAGCAACCTTGGCCTCTTTCTCTCCCATGAGTGATGCATTGGTGTTTACAGAATATAAAGATGAAAATCTTCGTGAGATGAAGGGAGTCAAACTAGGTTAGTTCTTTAATGTTTTCATCAAGGAACAAGTTTATGGAGCAAGAGAGATAGCAACTGTTTATCCAACTTGCATCAGCTTACGAACCACACACATCCAACAACAAAAATCCCCCAAACTTGCCCTTCAGAGAAAAATCTTTTAACCCACTCTACTCTTGCACTGACATAGAAATGTGGTTAAGAAGTGAATGGTGGAAGAGACCAGAATATACTAACATTCTTAAATGTCAGTTGGCTAGTATCCAATTGATAGTAACTTTAGAGAAGGTAACTTTCCTTATTCTTTCTTAAGGTACTATAAGCTACACTCAAATATGTTTGAATGCCTTCTTACATTTTGGAACAGCCTAAGAGTCACTCATGGGACCTTCTTAGAACATTTTTTATGAAAGCTGTTGGGTTTGTCAAGGTTTACTTTAACTCAAAATACAATAATTTCATGAGATCACTTGTTAATAGCTAGTTGGTATTAGCAGTTGCACAGATAAACTCCTATTTTATCACTCCTTGACTATGGTTAGGATGTATGATTTTCAGGTAGCATTTCCTTAACTGTCCTGTGGATTGCTTGTTGCAATTTGGCCCAAGGTACATGACTTTTTTTCTATTGGAAAATTAACTCTAATATTCATATATAATGTTTTATGGTATACTTTTAATGTGTGTTTTAAAAATGATAATGTATATCTCTTCTTCCCCCCAATTTAACAGATTTGTATTTTATAAATGTTTATACATATTTCCTTGGGGAAGTGACCTGCAGATAAGAAACAGATTTCTATTTATGAGAAAAAAATTATTTAAGCTTATGCGTTGTTTTCAGAAGCATTCTAAAATTGCCTTTTTAATTTGTGAGAAACGTTCTCAAATGTGACCTTTCTAGTGCTGAATGAAAAGTCATTACCTGAAAATGACTCCCCAGAGAACTGGAGATTATTTAAATTGTTGTGGGCCCCAACATCATAAAAGTGAGATCTTTGTCTTGGAAAATAAACAGACTAAATCTTTTTAAAACAACTTTTATTTTAGGTTTAGGGGTACATGTGCAGGTTTGTCATGTAGGTAAACTGCCTGTTGCGAGGGCTTGGTGTACGGATTATTTAGTTACCCAGGTAACAAGCATAGTACCTGATACCTAGTTTTTTTCCTGCTCCTTTTCCTCCTCATACCCTCCACCCTCAAGTGGGCCCTGGTGTCTGTTGTTCCTATGTGACCATGCGTTCTCATCATTTAGCTTCTACTTATAAGTGAGAATACGCAGTATTTGGTTTTCTGATAAACAAACTAAATCACAAACAAATTAAATGTATTGAGATGTCACTATGAGTCCCTCCCACTTGCAGGGTTCTGTATCATAGGATTCATGCACTCAACTTCACACATAAAGCAAGGACTTAAGGAGAGCTTCTCCAGTACCACTTTTGCACCATCGCTTTCTATTTAGAGATGACGGAGGCAGTATTTTAACAAGATTAAAGGAAAGTTTTAATAGCTTCATTTAAAAAGTTCTTGTTTTTCCACAATATCACAACTGTTTTCATTTTTCAGCTACCTGTTTGTTCTTTGTCCGTTTGCCTAGTCGGTTTTATCATTGTAATCACGACATCCTGTGACTGTGCTCATGAGGTCTGTTTATTTCCACTTTACGTAAACTTTTCAAAATGACAGTTATTTCGTACTCGCTCTCGCCCGAACACAGACGGGAGGACACTTGAGGAGCAATCGACCCAAAGGAAAAGCACGATTCAGGCCCCGCCTGCCTCGGCTTCACCTCCCACGGGCCCCACTCCCAGGGCCTCCGCCGCGGGACCCCGCCTTCCAGGCCCCGCCTCCCGGGGCCCCGCCCTGCTTTTCTCATCGCCCCGCCCCGGCCCGTCGCCATGTTGTTCCCTCCGCGCTGGACGGGAGCAGCTGGACCTGGAACCTGGCTGCGGTACCTTCGCTGCCTCCTGCTGTGCAGGTCCCCGACCCTCTCTCTGTCCTCATTGCACCCAGACGGGCCGGCTCAGAGCTCCCGGCTCGTCTTCCGTGTGGCCGCGAGGTGAGCGGGACTCAGGACTCCTTCGGGGTCGGGCGGAGCGCGCGGGTGTCGGGGTCTGAGGGGGCGGCTAGGGCCTCGGGCCGCTGGGGTGGGGTGCGGTGCGCGCGGGGCTAGCGCGGGTCACAAGGCCGCCCCGGGAGCGAGGACGGCTGGTTGTCTCCCTGCCTGCTGTCTGACGCAGGAGGAAAGACGGGTCCCCACACCTTTGGGGAGAGGGACGCACGGAAACACACACACACACACAGGGACGCACACAAACACTGGAGAGAGGGAGATACAAAAGCCCGGACACCCGTGCACATACACACGGAGAAATACACCCAGTCACCTGGGAACACACGTACCCGCCAGCCTTTCCCCAACCACTCCGGGACGCACATCCACAGTCCCCAAACCAAATCCTACACCCGAGTGATTAATGTAGGGAAAACAAAGGCGCTCCCACGACTTGATTTTGGCGACCTCTGAAGTTCCACCTAAGCAGAACGTGTTTGCTCGATGTCTTATGACCACTTGGGTGAGGAATTCGGAAAGTAAAGCCAATCTTAGAGGCTGCAGGAGGTTTGGGGGCAGTATCTGATTCAGACGCTGGCTAACGTTTCACGATCGCGTTCCTTTTTTTCTTCCAACTCGGTAAGTAAAAAGGCAAGATGAGAAATTTACGTGCTGAACTTAATAAATAGTTGGTGGACGTATTGCCTTTTTTTTGTTTTTTTTTTTTGTAAGGGATGACACATCTCGTGACTACAGTTCTTTTGAGGAATAACTTTTCTGCTAGTTTCCAAATCGGCACGTGACCAAAGTCTTTTCATAGGATTTTAGCGTCCTGATAAAAATCAATGGGCAGAATTTGATTGCTTTTTTAAAAATGTGTTTGTCCTTTGGTCTCTGGCACCATTGTAATGGAAAATCCCTACATTGCCTGTACTCTCAGAAGCTGTCCAGTGGAGCAAAACTAGAAATAAAGAAACCTGGAACGATTCAGTTAGGAACTTTTAAGAAGCCAGCCTTTAGTTTTTCCTTTAGAAGATTATGCAGTTATCATGATTGCTTCTCTAGAACTTCAGTGTGTTATTTGGATTCCTAAATCTAAGACAATGCTGTGGAAGTCTGGTGCTTTTAGTATTTTTGTGTCTGCTGTAGTAAATTCCTCGTTTATACTACAAAGTTTCTCTTTTGGAGACTTTTGGGATCTGGGCATATTTTTCGTTTATTATTTGGAATGTTAGAGTAGATAGGCAAAAACTAAGTAGAACATCTATTGGCTTTGATTCCAAGCCGGGTTCTTAAGAGATAAGGGGAATAATACCTTAGTTCTATCACTTCTTTTCCAACCTCTCTCATCTCTTTTTGTTTCTATCTCAACCATTTCTTCTGTCTAGACTACAGTACTCTGGAGGCCTAAAGATAAGATTTTTGAGTTCTCGAAATTATTATTTTTTTAGCCTCCCCTCATTTCTGGCGCGGTGAATATTCTGTGCGTGTAAATCCTGTACGTACATCATTTCATTTAATTTTCATAGCATTTCTTCAGTAAGAGCTCCATGTTACAGTTGAGGAATTTGGGGGGGGCATAGGAAGGTTCAGTCTGTTTTCCAAGATGACCCAGGTTGTGATGGGGTGGAGCGGGCATTCAAAGCAGATCTGGGTAATTTTAGAGTAATAGTTCTCAAGTGGAAGAGAGGACAATTTTGTCCTCCTAGGAGATATTTAGCAATGTCTGCAGGCATTTTTGGTTCACACCTGGGGGCAAGGGAGGTGCTGCTGACATCTAGTGGGTAGAGGCCAGGGATGCTGCTAAACATTCTTTTTTATTTTTATTTTTGTTATTTAATTTTTAATTTTTGCTGCTAAACATTCTGTAACCTACAGGACAGCCCCCCACAACAAAGAGCTGTCTAGCCCAAAATGTCAGTAGTGCCACAGTTGAGAAACCTTGCTTTTCAGCAGTCCGAGTAATCCCAGAGCTTACATTTCAACTGCTTTTGTAGTTTTTCAAATGCAATGTCATATTCCTATTTGGGATACTTCATCATTTTAACAGTGAGCAGGGGAAAATTCTCTCTACTGAGAAGCATATTTACTTGAAAGATTAAAGAGTGAGTGGCTGGGCATGATGGCTCATGCCTGTAATCCCAGCACTTTGGGAGGCCGAGGTGGGTGGATCACGAGGTCAGGAGTTCGAGACCAGCCTGGCCAACATGGTGAAACCCCGTTTCTACTAAAAATACAAAAATTAGCCAGGCTTGGTGGCGGATGCCTGTAATGCCACCTACTCAGGAGGCTGAATTCAGGAGAATCACTTGAACCCGGGAGGCAGAGATTGCAGTGAGCCGAGGTCACGCCACTGCACTCCAGCCTGGGCGACAGAGTGAGACTCCATCTCAAAAAATAAATAAATAAAGGGGGCAAATAATTTCTGGTAGCAGAATCTGTTTTTTGTTTTAAGGCAAAAATGACAAAAAGAACTTTAGAGCTATTCAGAGCCATTAAAGTGGACTTAGACAGTTTAGTTTCTGCATTATTTCAGTTGTCTGAGCAGCCTGTGGGGCACTGATACAAAGGTGCTGATGAGAAGGGCAGTGGGGAGTCCTAACCTTCCTGAAACTTACAGTCCAATCACAGTCATAAGATTAGGTTCTGACATCATCCTAGAACAGAATTTATTGCCTGGGCTACTCAAGGACAGGGGCCAGGTGTTCATTTAAAAAAAAAAAAAAAAACAAAACAGGCTGAGTGTGGTGGCTCATGCCTGTAATCTCAGTGCTTTGGGAGACCCACACAGGAGGATCACTTGAGCCCAGAAGTTTGAGACCAGCCTGGGCAACATAGTGAGACACCCATCTCTACAAAAACTAAACTTAAAAAAAAATTAGCCTACCTCAGTGTGGTGGTGCATGTCCCAGCTACTCTGGAGGCTGAGGCAGAAGGACGACTTGAGCCCTGGAGTTCAAGGCTGCAGTGAGTCATGATCGCACCACTGCATTCCAGCCTGGGCAATAGAGTGAGACCTTGTCGCTAAAAAAAAAAATAATAATTAAAGAAAACAACTCCACACTTGGCACAGAAGTACCTGTGTCATGGTGTTTACTGTGGGCAGACTTAGATGAAATGGGGAAAACTTGATGTGTTTGTTACAGTTTTGTACGATTAACCACGTGTGAATATTTACAAGAATCCAATTGAGAAGCCATTCTTGTTGAGCATAAAATTCATCCTTAGATTTCACCTCACCAGAGAAATAGTTATGCCTGCATTTTGTCACTGGAATCAAGAAATAAATGATGAATTTTTTAATGACTTTGCCATAACTTTCTGGTGTTTTCCAGTCTTTTTTTTCATTTTCATGCCTATTTAAGAGCAGACCTTTCAAAATATGTACTGCTTCATTCTGGTGGCAGAATTAGGTGAACTTTGGGAGGGAATGGTTGACTGGAGCAGTCAAAAAGGATCGCATCTCTTTTTAGGCATCACTGTGAGTGTTATTCATGCAATCAACATGGCATCTTTTTGTCGGTAGCTTGGTTTTTGACTCATGCCAATACACAGCACGTTCTTTGCTGATGAATAGATTTCTCTGCCTCTTCAGGAGTTGTCTGCTATGGGGTAGGGAGGATGTTGAGTTACACACCTCAAAATGATTGCTAGTGCATACACATGGAATCTGACAAAAGTGACATGTTTTATTCTGGGAAGGGTCGAGAGAAATTGGTGCCATAGTTGTCTTGTTTGATCATTAATTGGCTTACTCCTCCGCCCAACTTAGGTCACCACATTTCCTTCTGGGTAAAATGAGATGGCTGTGCTTTATAATCTCTAGGAGATTATATGACACAAAGTAGAGGCAGCAAATTATTAGCTTCCAAGGAGTTCTGCCCAGGCAATGTGTTAGTTAAGCAGCAGGAGGAAGTAAGCCAAATGGAAGTGTGTGTGTGTTTGGGCAACGCATCTAACTTGAAAGCTGTATAGATAATAAACTCATCAGTCAAAACCAAGCGTAAGAGAATAGGATTTGTGACTAAGTAGGCCATCAACAGAGAACATTTATTAAGGACTTTTTTTATAGAGGAGTGAGGGTGAACTCAAAAAATGTTTCAGGGAGTTTGGCAGAAAGCTATGATGCAATTGGAAGGCGAGGATGCCTGAGGGAGGGGACCTGGAGCCACCTAGGTGTGTAGGCAGAGGGGAGGGAGGTCGGAGGCGGTCCCAGGCCATGTTGCCAGAGAGCCCAGGAGTGCCAGGGCTAGTTAGATAACTTGGAGGAGAAATCTCTCTTTCTCAACATGACTCTTGATACTGAGCATGTTGTGAACCTGTGTGCTCTGGGTATTTCCACATTCTGGATTTTTCCAATCCTTTTGTTAATTTTTGACCGTGATGAGTTCAGGCGTTGGAACACTGTTGTTTATTATGAGTACAGTGAGGATGACTAGATGTAAATGAATGTAAGTAAGGTAACAGCTAGATCTGCCTGAGGTGGAGAGAGACTGGGTGTGAAAAAAAACGGAGAAGTGAAACAGGCTGTCCCGGCTTCACATTCTGACTGCATGGAAGCCAGCTCATTGCATTCTCCAGGAGTTCTCTGGGAGTCTGTGGACACAGACTCCACTTTTGTCTTAGGCCTGACTTGTACAAACGTATTCTGTTGTTTGACAGGGGATGGAGAAACACTATAGAACAACTGGACATATTCATTTCATTGCCACATTCTTTATTCAAGTGTGACAGAGAGCAAAGCAGTATAAAGGAGTTGAACTGACTACTGTAGTTTAATTTCAAGTTCGTGTGAATTGGATTAGATTTTTGGGTACAGAAGCTAAGGTAATTTCCGAAAGGTTAGTGCGAATAAGACTGTCTGTGTTCTCAGAGTTGGAAAAACCTGGGGGAAAAAAAGCCTTACAGACTTCTGTTTCTAGAACTTGCTGTGCAGAACTCTAACAGATAGGAGTGTTTATGCAGCTAGGTGACTGCCCTGGTCTGTGCAGTTTCACACCTGTGTATTTGATCAGATGTATATACCTGGAAATACATACATAATGTGGTTGGAAGTCAGATCAGAACTGCCTGAGGACTACCCATTGGTGAATGCAGAATGTTCTTTGGAATGAGTGCTAATATTCTTAACATTTAAAAATGGTTGTTTGGGAGCAAACAGTTGCCACCCTCATAATCCACTTTAATTTGTGCCCAGTACTTGATTTTTATCACAGCAGTCTTGGAAAACCTAGCTTCATGAAGATATGATGTCATCGAAAGGAATGCGGCACAATCTAATTAACTCCCCTCCAGTGTGGTGCCCTACAAATGTCAAGTATCCGTGTTTCCCTCAGAATTTAAAATAGCCTGCCCTGCCCCTGTGAATTTGCCATGATGCTTTGGGGCACCTCAGCATGCAGTTTGGGAACCTTAGGATTAGAAGTTGGTATTATTGGCTCTAGTTTATGGACTACAAGGTTTAGCGGTAAGGAGAAAAGGCATCAAAGTCCCTTTTTAATTCTCCATCCCACCTTCCAGTATCTGTAAGCTTTTCCCTTGGGCCCCTCATTTCCCCCAGAGCTTTGCAGTTTTGGGATGCTACCCTTTTAGTTGCTAAACTGAGAGGAGGGACACAGAGGAAAGAGACTGCAGTTGAG